TCAATGACATCAGCGCGGCTGCTGCTGCGTTGACTTCACCTACTACGCCTTTCTCGCAGTCTACTCTACCATCAAAATCCCTTCTATCACGAGCCTCTACCAATAACATGTTGGAACAGCCCGTAGCAGAAGGCAAGGCTTCGGATTCTACCATCTTACCAGATCGTTCTACTCAGATTGCGCTCCAAAAGATTGTTGAAAGACTATTTGAGAATTGTTTACGCGAAGGGAGATATAGACAAGTGGTAGGAATTGCGGTCGAGGCTAGAAACTTGGAGGTTTTACGAAGAGTCATCAAGCGTGCCAGTGACGACGAAAAGAAGTCAAAATCGAAGGTGCCCGAGGGTACAGCTGGTCCAACAGAAGAATTGATGGAATATGTCTTGGACATTTGCATGGGCGTCGTACAAGAGAGAGGGCTTCGAACAGAGATACTCAGATTGATCCTGGATCTACTGAACGATATACCAACTCCCGATTATTTTGCAATTGCAAAATGTGTTGTTTACCTCAACATCGACGAAGAGGCATCGGCAATGTTGAAAAAGCTGGTGGTAAGTACACCAACCGGACGAAGCAGTGACTTGACGTTTTATTTGAAATGAGGCTGACCTTTTTCAGGCCAAGGATGATCAAACTTCTACCGCTATCGCATATCAGATCGCTTTCGACTTGTATGATAATGGTACTCAAGAATTCCTCGCCAAAGTAATTAAATCTTTGCCCAAGAAGGCCACCGAGGCGGAGCCATCTACAGAGGAGCGTGAGTAGACTCTATATTCATGCTTGAGTTTTTACTAATTTCTTGAGTAGCAACAGAATCTGATCAGCTCTTAGGAGAGTTGAACGATCAAGCTGGGGACTCTACCGAAGGAGCCTCGGATGAACAACTCAAGGTCTATGACTCGATCCGAAAGATCCTTAATGGTAGTGAGACCATTCGACTTAACCTTGAATTCTTATACCGCAATAACCACACCGACCTCAGTATTCTCAACAAGGTTCGTGACAGTCTTGAAGGTCGCAACTCCATCTTCCACACAGCTGTTACCTTCTGCAATGCGTTCATGAACCACGGCACAACCAACGACAAATTCTTCCGCGACAATCTAGATTGGCTAGGAAAGGCAGTCAACTGGTCAAAGTTTTCTGCTACTGCTGCTCTTGGTGTTATTCACCGTGGCAATCTTTCACAGGCCAAGAGACTATTGGAACCTTATCTCCCAAAAGCCTCGTCAATTACAGGTTCACATTATAGTCAGGGTGGTGCTCTTTATGCTTATGGGTTGATCTATGCCAACCATGGCGCCGATGCCCTCGATTATCTGAAGAAAAGCTTCAATGAGACCCAGGAAGAGGTCATCCAGCATGGCGGTGCGTTAGGATTGGGTATTGCTGGTATGGCTACAGGTGATCAAAAAATTCTCGAGAACTTGCAAAACGTACTTTTAACCGATTCCGCACTGAATGGTGAGGCTGTTGGTCTTGCGATTGGTCTCATTATGTTGGGAACTGGAAATGAGAAAGTTTTGCAAGACATGATCCTCTATGCTCACGATACTCAACACGAGAAGACTGTTCGAGGTCTTGCTCTGGGTATGGCATTAGTTATGTACGGCAGACAAGAAGGAGCCGATGATCTCATTAAGGGATTGTTGAAAGACGCAGACCCATCTCTCCGTTATGGTGGTATCATGGCTGTAGCTATGGCATACTGTGGTACAGGAAGCAACAAGGCAGTTCGTCAATTACTGCATGTAGCCGTCAGTGATGTGAACGACGATGTTCGTCGTGTTGCCGTCATGAGTTTGGGTTTCATTCTGTTCCGCAAGCCCGGAAGTGTGCCACGTATGGTCGAACTTTTGTCCGAATCTTATAATCCACATGTTAGATACGGTGCCGCCATGGCTCTTGGTATCTCTTGTGCCGGTACCGGTCTTGATGAAGCCATCGATTTGCTTGAGCCTATGATGAAGGACCCTACAGACTTTGTTCGACAGGGTGCCTTGATCTCTCTCGCCATGATCATGGTTCAACAGAATGAGGCAATGAATCCAAAGGTTACGGAAATCCGCAAAACCTTGAAGAAGGTCGTTGCAGATCGTCATGAGGACGCTATGGCCAAGTTTGGTTGTGCATTAGCATTGGGTATCATTGATGCTGGAGGACGTAATTGCACAATCGGATTACAAACTCAAACTGGTAACCTGAACATGGCAGGTATTGTCGGCATGGCAGTCTTTACACAATACTGGTACTGGTTCCCATTCACCCATTTCCTCTCCTTGACCTTTACGCCTACATCTATGATCGGCTTGAACAGCGAATTGGAGATTCCAAGTTTCAAATTCCACAGTGCTACTCGTCCAAGCCTTTTCGACTATCCCCCAGAGCAAGAAGTCAAGACTGAGGATGCACCAACTTTGATTGCAACTGCCGTACTATCGACAACTGCTCAAGCAAAACGCAGAGCACAAAAGAAAGAGCGTGCTCAACGACGAGAGAGTATGGATATCGATCAAACTCCTGCCACACCAAAACTTCCCTCTTCAGCTGATGATAAGATGGATGTAGACGAGTCATCCAAAGACACCGAAGAGAAGTCTGCCGAGAAGAAGGATGAAGGTGAAAAAGATACCCCTGGAGAGACCTTGAAGAAGAAGCTTGAGAAGGAGAAGGTTGGATATGAGATTGAAAACATGTCCAGAGTTTTGCCATCTCAACTCAAGTTTATTAGTTTCCCAGCTGGTCGATACAAGCCAGTCAAGAAACCTACTGGGGGCGTCATCGTAATGATTGATACCCAGCCAGAAGAAGAAAAGGTCCTGATTGAAGAAAAGGTGAAGAAGGTCAATGTCGAGAAGGCTGCAACATTTACAACTTTTGGGGATCTACGCAACGAAGCCTTCAACTTGCGTCGTCAAGCCCATGCCCAAGGTGAAGCTGCAGGTGCATTCTCAGGAGCTGCTGCTGCCGCAGGTGTGTTGACCGCTGTCGATGAAGACGATGAGGGTGACGAGGAGGCTACTGTGCCCAATGATTTCGAATATTTCTCTGATGGGGAGGAACAGTAAATCATTTTAACTTAGGGCTCATAGTGAAATCTGTAATTTTAGCAGTTTGCATTCAGCGGAAGCGTGTTTTAGATGCAGTCCTTGAGGATAGCATCATGCACGTATTGAAGTGAAGGAAATGCATTGTGATAGTATAGAGATGTGTACAACAGAGAGCATTATAAGTGAAGCATTTACCTCATGTGATAAGTTGTTTGAGTGATCATTAAATCCATCTTTATGGTCTTTTATTCTTGTCATTTTGTTTGGGGGCTTCAATACGTGATATATGTTGCAGCTGCTAGACGAAGTTTGGAATTTTGCGATCATTTTTCTTAAATTAAATATAGAATTTCACGCCCTATCAATTTTAATGACTGAAATCCAAATAGTAGTTTATGATTTAATCAGGTGATACGTATTTGTCAAGAGGTTCTCGTATTGTTTTGTTGGAGCTGGCGAGAACCTTGGACAGTCATGATGGTGAGGGTTATGAATGTGAGGATTTTTGGCTTGTGTTGCTAGGTAGTTAGGTAGGTTTACATAGGTACCTAGATAGTGTTGTCAATGTATGGTCATGTGATGTGATGTGATATGATTTGATTGTGATTTTGAGAGGAGGGAGGGAATAGGATGGGAATGGAAGGGAATGGGATGGCGAAAAAGAGATGATGATTCGAGGAGAGAGTTTGGATGATTTGCAATATGTGTACCGGTAATAAGATTTGGTTATTATATGTGAAGGGAGCTCGAGGTAGTTGTGTGTGCAAGGGTTTGGATAATGGGGAAGTGTTGTTCGAGACTGTGACTACTAATAAGGTTACTAGCAGAGCTTCGATACCTATGATTAGAACTTTTCCTTTCCTTCTTATTTCTTTTCATTATCTGATGGATGATGGATGGATGAGGGTTAGTGGATAGCAGGCTGAGTACTAGGTAGGAACTCTTTCGATACTCCCCGGGTGGGTGTTTCCTGTCCTTCCTTGGCAGAGTCAGTCATGGAATTCTGATTCACGACAGCTGAATAATCACTTTTCGATGCAATCGTGAAGAAAAAAGTTGCTCGTCACAGGGAGGGAATTGGATTTGGAGATTCCTGCTCAGATCCTATTGATCGAGGGAGTGTGCCCGGTGTGGAGATCTTCAGTGCGTAGGTAGTGCTGGCTTGTGTAGGTTTCGACAGTTGGGTACGCTGGGCGGGTATGTATGTAAGGTTGTATGGATTCGGTTAGGCTGGTTTGTCGATTGTAGAGGTCGAGACTATTGTTTGGGTTTTTGGGAGTGGTGATGTACTTTTTGTTGTTGTCTTGATGATAAGGTTATGGGAAATTTTCGATGGGATGGTGAAGAAAGAATACGATAGCCACGAAGGGAATTAGTATATACATTCAAGTGAGGTATATGGAATGATGATTATGAGATGATCCTCGAAGATGCAATAGCATTCATTAAGCTTTTCTAAGACACCTATATCTCATCTCGCCCATATTATCGAGATCTGCAAGTGCAAGGTTGTTGGATGATTCTCATCTGATTCGCCCACGATCGACCACTCCCTGGTAAGTATATATCTGCTTCTGCATATCTCTGCATGGGCCTTATCATTCTGCTTATCCTTCTCCGGTTCGATATCTATCGCGTAGTACACGATATGCAGTTGCGATGAGGGGAAGGAGGGGTTTTATGAATAAATAGAAAGCTACCTACCTACCTACCTACCTACCTTGTAGGTAAAGTTGGGCTTAGGTGGGATAAGGTATTGAATCAAATGTGTATTTATACCACAGACCGAGGTTCAGCATCTTGTCTTCTGTCATTCTTGGTCTTGGTCTTTTATCTCTTGCTTTGAAGTACGCTTTGAAGCTCGAGATTGGAGGAAAGAAGGGTTTGTTCATAGATACGATCAGGAGGTTATTTGCTGTTGTTGACAAGAGGCAAAACGTGACGATGCGTTCTTTCACTTCGATGCCATATGTTCCTACTGGAAAACAAATCAAAGAACGATGCACAACGGTCAGAGCATGGCAATTGCCGAAACAGAAAAGTGCGTTGGCGCCAGAACATGTTTGGACGAATGAGGATATGGATCCGGTGAAGAAGGAAAATCAAACTTGGACTTTGTGGACTTGGTGAGTTTGTTATTTGTGGTTTCGTAGGGATGTGTTTGGAGTGATCAGGGGTGGGGATAGGGAATGCTGGTGGATATTGGGTTGGTTTTGGGAAAGAGATGATGGATAAGGGTAGGTGAGGTGTTGGCTGATGATATGCAATATAGGATGGCGTATTGGGCAACTGATACAATCACTCTGAGTACTTGGGAGACGGCGAGTAGCGTTCTAGCGGTGGGGTTAACATGGAGAGAAGCAATTCCGATTGTGAGTTTATTCGAAATCTCTTTACATGACCTAGCTATCTCCAAATCATCAGATCAAAACTGATAAACACAAAAGATGGTAGTGGGAACGACTTGCGTTGCGATTCCCGTGGTACTCAATGGGGCTATCGGTGCCAAATTCCATATTCCATTTTCAGTAGCAATCCGAGCGTCGTTTGGATACTATTTTGCATACTTTTGTATAGTTTCAAGAGCCGTACTGGCGATGTTTTGGTTGGGTATAGTAGGCGCGGGCGGAGCACAGTGTGTTACGATTATGATATTGGCTATTTGGCCTAGTTATGCGAATGTGCCGAATCATATTCCAGAAGACCAAGGAATCACTACGCAGGGAATGATTAGGTATGTCATTTTACTGGATGGAGAGTAGGAACTACTAATCACATTTTCTTTAGCTACTTTCTCTTCTGGATAATTCAGCTTCCACTTCTTCTTATACCCCCTACTCGTCTCCGATATCTCTTCGTCACAAAACTCATCGCAGCCCCTGTTGCGGCACTTGCAACCATGGGCTGGTGTATTCATAAAGCCGGCGGCTCAGGATCGATCTTTGATCTCCAGCCTACCGTCTCCGGATCCACCAAAGCATATCTCTGGCTCTCCTGCATGTCATCAGTCACAGGCACGTGGGCTACTCTATCATGCAACATCCCCGATTTCTCCCGCTACGCACGATCTTCCAAAGGTCAATTCATTCAACTTCCCTTCCTCCCTCTCATTTTCACCCTGTGTGGTACGATCGGTATAATCACCACCTCAGCCAGCGGAGTCATCTACGGAGAACCCCTCTGGAACCCCCTCGACATCCTCGCCAAATGGCTGGACCTCGGACACGGCGGACGCGCCGCAGCATTTTTCGCAGCCGCCGCTTGGTACATCGCACAAGTCGGCACCAACATCACCGCAAACTCCATCAGCGCAGCAAACGATCTCACTGTTCTCTTCCCCCGCTACATCAACATCGAACGCGGCTGCGTCATCGCCGCCATCGTCGGCGGATGGGTCATCGTCCCTTGGAAAATCATCAGCTCGGCCCAAACCTTCCTCTCTTTCATGGGCGGCTATGCCGTGTTTCTCGCGCCCATTGCGGGTATTCTCGCGGCTGATTACTGGGTGCTGCGGAAACAACATCTGGATGTGCCGGCGCTGTACGATCCCCTTGGAAGATATAGATACGTGTGTGGAGTTAACTGGCGCGCGCTCTTGGCGTTACTACTAGCGGTGTGTCCGAATTTGCCGGGGTTGGCGTATAATATTGCGTTGAGGACGGATGGGGAGACGGGGGTGGAGATGGATGCGGTGAGGATTAGTCGGGGAGCGAGAAATCTCTATTCGTTTGATTGGTTGTTTGGGTTTGTGGTGAGTGTGGTGGTTTATGTGGGGGTGAGTTGGGTTTGGCCGGCGAGGGAATCGTTGGTTGAGAGGTCGTTTTATGGAGATGTGGTGGAGGGGGAGGAGGGGAGGGGGAGTGAGGGGGAGAATGCGGAGGGTGGGTTGGAAGGGGTGTGGGTTTCTGGAGATGGGGAGAAGAGGTGAGGGGATGTCCGGGATGGGGAATCAGAACTGAGATGAAAAGTGAATATTGTGTCGCTTAATCTTTAGACGCCAAATATTTCTTGTGATGAGTGGTTCATAAATCATAGATATGAAGAATGGGACGGGATGGGTAATTCGATATGATTCTGTAATATTCTAGATCTGTGGCACTGCCATATGATATCCAACACGGTTGACCGGTAATTGGATACAGATTTTGAGTAAGATTACATAAACGCAGACATAGCATCAGAAAATAAATACAACATTCCAAACTATTTTGACTATGCAAGCTTCTGCTCGTTGACCTATACCTACCTAGTTTGAGCTGCTGGAATGTTGGTTGTATGATGAGAGATATAGAAATAATCCATATTTTTACATTTAAAAAAAACTAGAAGATGGAGAAATATACGCGTAGAGAAATATGGGATATCTACTAGGTAGTTACATATGAAAAGAATGTCAAAGGAGTCTGAATTGACTGGTTTTGTTGAATATGGAATGAGATATCGATATATGTAAGATCTTACCTCAGATGATATGTTATCACGAATGCATTCTCATTTAGAATATCTATCTATCAGATCCACATATTACTCACTTTCTCTATCCGAATCACAATCATAGATTCGTTCACTTAATAAGCAGGAATAATAAGACTGAAAGAGTTATATATCATGGTACTTAATATTCCTATCCTTTCATATTTCCAAAACACTTTACGGTAGCGTAGTACAGATAACATGATTACGAGTAACAGAATACAAAAGATAAAGAGAAAAGAGAGAAAAGAGATAATTATGAACGAGTATAAGAAAGTACAAAAAGAAAGGATTAGCAAAATCAAAATCAAAAACCAAAATCAAACTCTCGGAAGAAAGATTAAACCACACCAGTAATCATCACAATTCCACTCGAACCAACCATTCCTCTCCACCCGCTAAACGTCTATCCTCCAGACCTAGTTCTATACCTCTTCACCCTGGGAGCTGGACTCGGACTCCGATTCGAATTAGACGTCGAAGTAACTTGCTCCGAACTCTCATTTTTGCCCTCCACCTCCTCATGTACTTGTGCCTGTTCAGAACTATCACCTCCACTCGACTCATACTGGTTTATTTGCGACGACTCGGCTTCATACGTATCCACCATATTCTTCCAATCCTGAGACTTTACCTCTCTCGTTTCTCCCTCATCTGCATCTCCATCTTGATCTACACCGTGCATTGATTTTCGTCGACGATCCTGTCGACTTGATCTTCGCACGGGTGGGGCTTCAATATCTGGACTTGGAGTCTGGATTGCCGTGCGTTGACGCGTCGTACGATTAGAGGGTGGGTATAAGTCCTCTTCTGGGATTGCGGCGGATGCTTTACGTTTGGTGGGGGAGTACGGAAGTGGAGGTGGTTGGCTGATGGATTTGGGAGTGTATGTGGAGTATGGTTTATCGTATGAAACTAGCGGAGCTGCAAAGGATCGGTGTCGTCTGGTAGGTGTTGGCTGCGAGATCTCAATTTCGACTCCGGGGTCGGTTTCGGCTTCAGATGGAGGCTCGTAATCGCCGGCTTGGAAAAGATTCTCATCGTCTCCGTACTGTACATAATCGGCTTCGATACTTTGTTGTAGGTCGTCGTCTGAAGGTAGGTATGAGGGGTGATGCGCGTAACCTGGTTCGAGGCGGCTGGAGTCGGAGTACTGGAATTTGGATCCCAGTCCACCTCCTAACCCGCCACCAAATCCACCCGCTCCTGCTCCACCCGTCCCTTGTCCCTGGCCTGGTTCAGGAAGCGGTGTAATGTTTCGCAAGCGCGTACGAGCATTCATTGCATTGGCCTTTTGAAAATGATCTACCAATTTTTTGAGTTCCTTCGGATCTCTGCCCTTAGGCGGACCATGTACATCCGCGATACCTTGATAGTCGCGATGACGATAATGATCCACAACGAGAAGATTATCATCGGGATCCGAGCCGGGTACAGCGATTTGCTTACTACATCCAGGGAATGGGCAGGTAAATGGGAGAGTTTTGCTTTGATCGGTATTGAAATGTGTAGCCATGTGTGTAAAGATTTGCCTACGAGTCTGGTTGATCGTATGATATTTGCAACCTTTGCGAGACCAAGGGCATGCTCCAAGACTACTCCTATCTTCAGCGTACGCTCGTCTTTCGTCCATAGGACGTTTCAACTCTCGTTCGGCTAAAGCTCTTTCGCTTTCTACGAGCTCATTCTCCCGTTGGGTAATCCAGGAGAGTGTGGCTGCGTTCTTGGCCGCGATGCGATTGAGTGTTGCAGTTCGCGCCTGAAGCTCTGGATGGGGAGAGGTGAATCAGTAATGGTTAGAGGACCCGTAAGGGGACGAGGTGCAATCCAGATACGCTTAATTAGGGTTTCAAGATCTGAGAGGAAGAAAGGGATATCAGCTTGATACCCTATGGAAATAATGGAATGGAGGAAAAACGATTTGGGCAGAAATCATGTGAATTCAAGGGATAAGCAAATATAGCGAACTTACCTTCTACTCGCTGTCTCAAATTCTCCGGTTCTTTTGTTCTAATAGAACAGTACACTCTATGGCCATCCAATTGAGCTTCAGTGGCACCAAGCAACCTTGTGCCACATCTCAAGCAAAAAGCTTTTGGCAAACCTTGAGGAGATGTGCAATGCTCATCATGCGTGGTGATTTCATCGTTGCTCCATGCACTCTTATCAATGCCACATTTGGTACAGAACTTCTTATCTTGAACACGTCGATTCTTAGCGGTACAATTTATAACGTGCTGACCCCGTTCTTCTTCATCCTCCGCGGTACGATTTTGGCCACAATCGCCGCAGAATGAAGGTTCTAGATCGAGGGGTCCACGATCTGGTTGATCAAGGCATACGTATCTGTGATGAACTAGTTCAGCATGATTACAGATAGCGGTGCGAAGTCCGCATTTGTCACAGAATTCGACAATTCCTGGTATGTGGTCTGCCATGTGGCGAAGAACTTGCTCGGCTGTAAAACCACTTAGTTTGGCGTCGCATACAGGACATTCAATGCCATTCCAGAAATTTCGAATCATTTCGGTGTCTGTTTCCACTTGATGAGTTTCAAGATGCTCTTTCTTTTGCTCCATGGTCATGATTGACCACGATTCTCGCTCACAGAGAGGACATTGTCCCTCTTTTTGGAGTTGGACTAGATGCTGTCCATAATGGCGTTGTATTTCGGCATGCTCATAGCCAGCCATGGTCACAGAGCAGATGAGACAGTTGTGAGATCGCTCTAACAAGCCATTTCTTAACTTCTGATTTTCTTCAACCAAGTTTAAAATATCAGTGGGGGTCAGTCGTTGTGTATAAACTGCAGGAGTCGAAAGAGAAACTCCTAATGTCAATTCTTTACTAGGCCCGTATGTTGGTGCTGAAGGGTCAAGGCCCGGCTCGATGACCGATTGGTCTTGAATGTAAGAACGACGTTGTAATGCATCCTTACGATGTTGATCTGTCATCCAAGTCTCCCATTTTGGAGTGATGGCCTTTTCGGCAACGGGTGCAATGAGTCGTGTCTTGTTGATACGAGGCTGCTGTGATGCTTCGGCAACAGGCGCCACCGGAACTGGGTTAAGTTCCACTGGAGGAGGGGGCGGGATTTGACGAGTATGTCTATAGCCCCAAGGAATTGTATCAGGTTGCACTGTGGAGGGTTAGTTAGTCATATCGGCTGAAGCATGGCGAAACTCACTAAAAGGTCTAGTTTCTCTTCGCTCAATGAATATGTCGGTTTCTGTGAGCCAATCGAAAATATACTTTCTCCAGTAACTCTCTGTGGTTCTTCGATCTACTGCGAATGAACGATTTGTCTTTGTTTGGAGTAAAACAAAATTCGAGTCAAGAGCATGATCCCAATCATCATACATTTCTCTCATGTTTGCCCTGAAGTTCTCCAGGGAGGTATTGTGTTGTTCGTCTGTTGTATCCCACTGCCAGATACGTTCACCTTCGGAATTATCATGAAGCGTGAAAACTTGATACTCCGGACGGAACCAAATATTCGAGAAAGTTTGCACGCGACCGAGGAAAGCTGTTCTAATCATATTACCCTTCTCAGCATCTGGCAAGTCGTCATCAATTTCCATAATGACAGGCGGCAGGTTCTCTTCACGTTCTATAGCACTGAACCACATTGCGACAAGACTGCCGTTCGGGTATTTTGAATTCTGGCTATGACGATGAACCTTTCTCAGCCGTTCTACAATAAAACTGTAGATATGCTGATACTCATTGCGTTCAAATGCAATATCCCTCTGGTAATCATCGCCAATGAGATGGAGGGTAGATTGTATCCTCGGGCTTTTTTCTCATGTCGGAATGAGGTGGAATTGTTATAGTGAGTTGACATGACAAATCAACTTCAGTTTCAGCATCAGAATCATCATCAGGTTGTGGAACAGGTTTTGGAAGATTTTTCTGTTGTCTGACTCGTTCAACAACCCACTCCCAAGTTTGAGGGGTTACTTCCATACCGCCAAAATTAAGAGCCTGTTCGTGAACCCCTTCTTGTGTGCTGGAAAGTCGTGGATTGCGTGAGGGACGATCCTGACCGTAAATGGCAAGAAAAGCTCTGACAAATGAGGGCTGTAAGTGGTTTTAGACAGTATGGTAATACGGGGTTGAGGACCAAGGGTATTTTCCAGTAACTTTCCGCGTTTTCTTGTTGACTGTATAATCTGACAATTTGACTGTCTTGAGGTGGTTCCACGACTTGGTGTTGTGAGGGCGCGTAACCACTAACGTTGCGCACGAAGACGCTTGTTTTACTACTAGCACCGATAAGAAACTTATCCCTGAGAGACAGGAAATCATTCCTATATTGTGTTCTGGTAAAATTTAAAGGTGGTAAAATGCGATCTTCAGTGTGAACATCAACTAAGAAAGACCAATCTGATCTCGGATCTATATTCAAGAGTTTCGTAACGGTTGTCTTTGAAGGCAAGGTATGTTGGTCTGGTAAGTTTCTTCCCAAAATACGAATAGATGGGATGCTGAGATGTTTTTTTATCATCGTCTGGGAATTCTTTTGCCAAACGACGTACATCCTCATAGAACATAGGGACATCTTCATTAGGAAAGCGGTCTTCAATTATGATACTCAGTTGGTCGTGATCAACTTTGCCGATCACTTCCTCGATACTTGGCCACTTCTTTTCAAAATCTTCATGTGAAGCTATTGAAAACGAGATTTGTAGTGGTTTATCAATCTTACGTGGATCTACCTGGCGATAGATATCAACATTAAAGTGCAAGTCCACATCATTCGGGATCCCAAGAAGCCTATGAGCTGAATTGAGGAATTCTCTTTGGACCAGATGTGTACGGCGAGACTTGTGCTTAGGGCTTGGGCCCAGCAGGTTAAGATAAAGTCCTCTTAGTAGAGGAGCGCGCTCACGACGATCCGCACCGCCACGCATAGTGACAGTTGAGCGCCATTCACCATCACTACTATCTGCTAGTTCTAATTCCTCAATAGACCCGGCGCCACCTCGCATGCTTACTCGAGGACCTATTGATATTAGCAGATGCATCACAAGGAAGTTTTGATAACGAACGTCGGATGATTTGGTATCCAAAAGATCTCTCGATATATGAATCCAGAAATTCTAGAGGCTTCTCGGAATAGATAATTCTCTGTGTCCGAGGGGGAGAAGGTGCGGGGTCTTCTTCATCGTCTGCATCGTCTTTCCAATCCGGAGTGAGGACCATGATATTATTCAATGTCATTGGTGCCACAGGAAGACCAAAGTGGACCATTGTCATTTTTGTTGCAAGATTGTCGAGCTGTCCTTCGAAACGCCCACCTGGGCCAATGTTCTCATAGTATTCTTTACTTTGTTCATCTCGAACTGCTTGTACTTCAACACTCCACGCCTGAGGATTTATCAAAATCTTTTGCATCTCTTCATAGTTGTCATCAAGAACATCGGATATTCTCTCGGATTTGATAAGCTCGGCATAATATGCACGAGTTTGCCGCCACAAACGATCCGCAGGGCGAATGTCTGGCATCCATTGTAGACTTCGACTCTTGTTATTAATCTCATCGTAGTTTTTCTTGTCTAATTCTTCATCAAAATATTTATCAATAGCTTTAGCTTGTTCGCGTCGTAATTGAGCAACTTCCTGCTCCGAAAGAGGTCTAGCATTCCGAGGAGCAATAGTTACCTCGACTGGTTCCACAGGATGAGGCAAGAAATATTCTCTTAAATCTGAGATTATACCTCGTAGGGTTTGTATGGGCCCGTTGCTGCCATAATAGAAGATGCTGATTGTGAAAAAGGTAGGGAATGATGATGGAAATGCTATCTGAATGGATAGAAGAACAAAACAAGGGGAAGCAGGCACTACAAATTTCAAGGGGAGACAGAGCTCTAGCAACTAAAGTTTGCAATCATTCCTTTGTTGCTTCAAATGACGGAAAAGAGATATCAAGGACAAAACCTTTAGTTTGGGCAGAACACTTGTCTTAGACCTCCAGTTTCCAAGTCGTGAAATTGCATTGTTAATGTTCTTTCATAATAACCAAAGAGCAATGTAAATGATGATCCCGAGTGAATAAAGACCATTCATTGACATTTGAACAAGGAAATACGTCGTTTGCGGTTGTAAAACTCAAAGAGCTACTTATTCTTTGAATACATTCCTTCAAGTTGAAACCTCGAAGGTTCATTGGACTGTAATTTGCGACGACAACATTTACGGTGAATGAGGTGCAAAGATACTGATGAACTGGGCTCCAAAGCATCATGATAGCATAATGAAACATCGATTCCATAAGGAAATGATTGATGGTATGATCATGAAATGCTGCATCCAGTTCAGTTCGACAAAAGATGAAGAAGAAAAAAGGAACGGGAGGAAAGCGGTGAAGGATGGAGTCACATGATTTTGGTTTGATTTATCAAATGACTTTCCGGTTTACACATACAGATCGAGGTGAACTCCATCACACTGTAATAGGATCACATCAAAAAGCAGTATCGACGTTTGCACAAACTTATGATAGGTAGTGAAGTTATTGATACTGTATCAAGAATTCACAAAATAACCTCCACCTAATGTTTGTTCCCATCTTTTAATATTAGATTCATGTCACGTGAGTATAATTTCTACGAGGGCTTCTTTAGGGCGAGAAACCGGAATTCAATCACCCCCTGAAATACCTTTTCAGATATATAAAAATTACCAACCTCAACCAATTCTTGTATCAATGAGCCATTCCCTAAAACCTTTCACTATAATTTATCGTAATTCGCACCTTAAAACTAACACAGTCTTTTTCAAAGTTTGGATATCTTACTATTTTGAAATTATATATTCTGCTAATTTGTCTACAGCTTACAAGCGCCATCTATTCAGCACTCGTGGGTTTCTTCGACTTCTCTGGCCATCTCGTTCTTCTTCTGGCTTTAACGTAGAAGTTATTCGGACGGACCAGTTGAAATTCTGGATCATATTCCACTGGCTCATTACCCATCTTTTCAAACTCATATCTATACACCAACATTGAAAGGATGACTCTGACTTCTTGCAATGCGAAATTGAAACCGATACACATTCGAGGACCAGCAGCAAATGGCACATAGGAGGTCTTGTGTCGACTTTTGACCTTTTCTGTATTCCAACGATCAGGATTGAAATCTGCTGGCGAGTCCCAAACCTTGGGATTGTTGTGAATATGGTGAATGGCAATAATCATTATGGAGCCTTTTGGGATACGATAACCACCAGGAATGATTACATCTGCGAGAGCGGTACGACCTGGTTGATAAGATGGATTGTGGAGACGTTGTGTTTCTTTGATGAGGATCCCGAGGAATTCCAGTGAATTTGCAAGGTCAGGTGTCCACTCTGTATCGTTCTTGATATCATGGTCAACCAGTTCCTGGAGCAAGCGCTCTTGATTACCGGGGTATGAAGTAATGCTATATAGTAGCCAGCTGAGAAGTGAAGCCGTAGTGATAAATCCAGCTCCCACAGTTACTAGTGCCGCGTTGTTGCGGTATTTTTCTGCAAGCTTGTGGCCTTTCTCATCAGTCGCTCTCACTAAATAGTCAACAATACAAGTTGCCTTCAAAGCTGCATCTTGAATGGGCAAATCTTCTGTTCCACCACCTTTGACGTTTCTGATAGCTTCTTCTATCAATTCTTTCACGTGTGCTTTATTATCCTTCAATTGCTTCGGTGCTCCCCATGGCATATGAGAATACCAATCTCCCATTGTCGAAACTTTCTTGTTGAGCTCCAAATTTTTGCCAACAGTCCTTACGAGGTCATGAAGAGGTGCATCGATCGAGTCAAAATGATGCATGTCCATTCCCAAAGCTAGTTTTCCAATCGCAGTGGAACCCATTTTGAACATATACTGATATACGTTCCAAGCTTCATCCTTCTTGTCTAGCTCATCAAAGACTTTAAAAGCCTGTTCCGCTGTGTCTTGCATTTGAGGTGTGTAATGCCTGACGGCTTTGGGGCTAAGCGCCGGTGCTAAGAACTTATGTGCTTCTTTCCATGCTTCGGTATCCGTATCTGATAGGAAGACACCTGCCATAGGATCTTTTATACCATAAAGGGGATGATCGGAATTTATCACTTTCGACCAGTAGCCTCCTTCTCCAAAACACACATCGGCCACCTTTGGATCGTTGGTATAATATGTTGTACGACCCATGTCTGTCGTTTTGAACACTGGTCCATATTGTTCAAACAAACGTTGGTGATTTCCGAGATGGTCGGGATACACTTCGTAATAACTTCCAGCAATGGGGAGGCCTGTTGGTCCGGGAACATCTCTGACTTGGTTTCCGTTAATCAGAATACCGATTGGAGAAGATACGTCTACGAAGTTATCAAGATCATCAAGAACTCCATTTTCATCCGTTTGAAACGAGATTCCTATTTGTGGGTTAACCCTTGCATGGCTAGTTCATATATTGCGGACCTACCTGATGGTTCCGCAATTGAAAACTTTTGAGCAACAGTGTATTGCAGGAACTCAAATGTATTTTGAAGATCGACTTCAAGTGCTTGAGATGTCTTCGCTGGCTGTCCCAGTAAGAAGAATGATTTCTCCACCATGGTTTTATATACTTTTGTTTACAAGGAGACAAACAAGAGAAAAACGAAGTCAATGGGGGGGGGGAAGGCGAGTGTCAAGCTAGAAAAGGAATATGAGAACTCGATGATTCAATTGCCCGCTTTATGGAATATTGACTTGCTAAAAATTCCAGAACATAAATGTCAAGTTATAAACTATATATTCTAAAAATAAACCAGGCGGACTTACCGACAGAATTGATTTCAGATGCATATTTTGGTTCCAGACAATGAAGTCATAATTTGTTAACATGAAATCTTTTGCGGTACTACCGGTAGATATTTACCGCGGTTCCTCGGTATATTCTTCATCAATTCTTACAGGGTCCCCAGATGTGGTGAAAATCAATCAAGAAACTCAAATAGCCTTGGAATAATTGGATCAAAGCCCATACGGCCTTATTTAAAGGGGTTAGTATCCAGAACGGCAAGCGGCAGATAGACGGCTAATCGGCTGGTGGGTCTCCGAGGGCGATCCTTCCATACTAGTTTGAAAAACTCCTGGGACTTTTCTGATGGTTAACATGGAACCATCTTGCCTTGGCTAATATGTCTTTGATTATTTACTAGAAGATGGTTACGATTCTCATCAAATCTGGAAACTCCGATTGATTGATGAAAGCGCCGCTGCACATTGAGGTCATCTCCACATATACGACATATGCATAAGTTGAAGTGACCTCGGGATCAATAATCAGTGGCGTCGACGGAGATAAGTCAAAGTTGCATCCTCGGTCTTTCAGAGATTTAGTTCTTCCTTGAAGTTCCTTCCTTCTTCCATCTCCGTGCACTGAAAATCTTGTTCGTTGTCTTTTGAAGAGATCCCCAATCGCACTTGCTCTAGCCTAGCTACTAAGAACATATTATTATCATCATGAGTGAAAGCAAGCAATTTTCCCTCAGTGAAGTTCAGAAACATAACAAAAAGTCGGATCTATGGCTCATAATTCATCATAATAGTTTGTTTTTACCTTGACGCATTATCGATCAAAAGCTAACATTTCTGAAGTTTACGATGTAACAAAATACCTTGAAGATCACCCTGGTGGAGCGGATTCATTGCTCGAAGTTGGAGGGAAGAACTCTACAGTTGCTTTTGAAGATGTTGGACATTCAGCAGATGCGCGAGAAACTATGGAATCATTTCTGATAGGAAGGTTGGAAGGAGCACCCGATGAGGAAGATGAAGACAGAGGATTGCCGATGCCGAAACCAGATTTGAAAGCCAAATCAGAAGATCAAGACTTTAATAGTGAAGCCCCGCTCATGACCGCTGGTAGGGCTGGGCTCAAGGTTTTCTCAATTGGATCTGCGCTTTTCCTAGGCTATGAAATTTACTCGAGGTCACCAAAAATCGGGTGGCTTCATGCACAACATGGAGGGTTTTGGAAAGGTGTGCTTATTTCGAGTATTGCTACCCTGTCTATTGCGGCGGGAGCGGGACTTTATCTCGAAAAAGCATTATCGGGATCTTTCAAAAATCCATATTCATACCCATCTCATTACAAACCATCTATCCAGATTGCCAAGCCAATCACGAAAGTCAAGGGATATCTACAACCTGATAATTATCAAAAGTTGCCTTTGGTCAAAAAGGAGAAATTGTCTTCAAATACTCATCGTTTGATATTCAAACTTCCAAAAGATGATATGATAATCGGCCTTCCTATTGGACAGCATATTAGCATTCGAACAGAAATCGACGGGAAGGCCGTCAGTAGATCATACACACCTGTTTCTAATAACTCCGATCCTGGGGAACTTCGATTGGTAATAAAAATGTATCCGGATGGACTTCTCACTGGAAGATATCTCCAGCATCTCAAAGTTGGAGACGAGATTGAAGTACGTGGACCAAAAGGTGCGATGAGATATCGAAAGGGAATGGTGAAGAAGATGGGAATGATTGCAGGAGGAACGGGAATTACACCGATGTATCAGGTAACAATGTCTACTCTTCTACACACAACCTAAGCTAACATCGAACAAGTTAATTCGAGCAATATGTGAAGACCCAACGGATGAAACATCTGTTATTCTTCTTTATGGTAACAACAGCGAAGAGGATATTTTACTCCGCGAGCAGTTGGACAATTTCGCAAAGAAATACCCTGAGAACCTTAGAGTACATTATGTGTTATCCAAACCGTCAAAGAATTGGAAGCTGGCCAAAGGATATGTGACCAAGGAGATGGTCAAAGAATGCTTTCCAGAACCAAGCGATGATAGTAAGGTGTTACTGTGTGGACCACCGGGTTTGGTTGACTCGATGAAAACTAGCTTGGTAGAGCTGGGTTGGCAAAAACCAAGAGCTGTCAGTAAATTGCCTGACCAAGTCTTCTCATTTTAGCTTCATTTTAATTGTATCATATTGGAAATATGGCTAGATTTTACTATTCTTGTTCTTGTTGGAATTAAAGTTTAAATTGTACGTGAAGCGTGCTAAATCTTCCGACCTCTGTCGAAAACTAAGCATCCGTTCGCCTCCGCTGTATATCCGAACCTCGACCTCTCTTCAACGTTTAAATCTCAAATACAAAGAATCTTCAGCTTTATCCAGAGCATGTGTATGATGCAAAAAATACGCAAAAGATTCGAAATCATGAATTTCACAAATCCTGCATGAAGATGACTAGCACTCAGTTGGCCAGACCTCGAACTAGTTGCCTTTAGATACGGCCGGAACGACCCACATTAGTTATGCGTTAGCTTCAGATAGCTTGACCGAGGCCCAGACAAGTAGTTTGATGGGATTGTAATAGATACATTTAGTTTTCCCTTCCGTCACTGGCCCTGACATCATACCGAGGAGTGTGGAATGTTCGGAAGGGATGTGAGGGTGCGTGGGTTGTGGATTTTATGTGATTTGTAGACGGCTTTTCATATATAAAGATTTGCTTACATGTTTGATAGAGAAATACTGATACATACATTAACACAAACATTGACAGTAAACCTATCCTAATCTCATCAAGAATTTCCCCCAAAGTCATTCCGATTGAATTTTCCTCCGCATTGAACCCTTCAACAATTTTTTTGACTCAACTACCCCAAACCCCAAAAATGACCTTCACACTTCCCACCACCAAAAACCGTCCCATAACCGTCCTAGGTGGTGGTGTTCTCGGCCGTCGCATCGCCTGCACATGGGCATCTGGAGGTTGGGACGTACGCATCCGCGACCCTTCACCCGAACAGCGCAACGCAGCGCTCCACTACATCGAAAACAACATGTCCATCTACGCATCCGCCATCCAATGTTCGTCTCCGGGCACCGTAACCGTTCATGGAGACTTAGCCGAAGCGGTAAAAGGAGCGTGGAATGTTATTGAAGCGGTGCCAGAAAAGTTGCAGTTGAAGATTGATACGTTTGCCGAGTTGGAGAAACTGTGTGAGTCAGATGCGCTGTTGGTTAGTAATTCGAGTAGTTATAAGACTTCGGAGATGCTAGAGAAGGTGGGTGGGGATACGAAGAAGAGAATATTTAATACGCATTATATGATGCCGCCGGATAATAAGATTGTGGAACTTATGACGGATGGAGAGACGGCGGAAGAAATCTTTCCGTGGTATGTAGAGAGGTTGAAGGAGGTGGGTATGCATCCTATTGTTGCTAAGAGAGAGAGTACGGGGTTTGTGTTTAATCGTGTTTGGGCGAGTATTAAGAGAGAGTGCTTGATGATTCTTGCAGAGGGGGTTAGTACCCCAGAGGAATTGGACAGGGTTTGGGTAGAGATGTTTGGGGTGGAAAGGGGATGGGCCCTTGTGCTATGATAGATGGAGTGGGCTTGGATACGGTCGCGTTTATTGAAGAACATTATATTAAGGAGAGGGGATTACCTTCGGAGCATACTGTTGATTTTCTAAAGAAGAGTTATTTGGAGGAGGGAAAGCTGGGTGCTAAAAGTGGGAAGGGAGGACTGTATCCCCCTGGACAAACAACAAAAGTCAAGGGCGAAGAAAAAGATCATCATGAGAATTTGCATGCTCCATCTTTGTAAGTTGTTCCTCCCATAGTCCACGAGACTGAAGCTAACAGTCCTAGATATATGCTAGATATTGGACTTAATTCCCTGACCGATACCCTAAACGCAGGTCGAATCGTAGTCGGTTCCCCTGATGGCCGTCAACTTCGAACTCTAGTCTCCGGCCAGCATCTTCCAGACGGTCTTGACATTTCTCTGAAGACCGGTCGTATATATTGGACATGCATGGGCATCCCAACAGCCAACGACGGCACAGTACAATCATGCAAACTCGACGGAAGCGACATCCAAACTGTGATTCCATCCGGAGCAGTTCACACGCCTAAACAACTAATCATTGATCATGCCGCTTCCAAACTATATTTCTGTGACCGCGAAGGTTTACGAGTCATGAGATGTAACTTCGACGGATCAGAACACGAAGCCATTATCCAAACCGGCGATTGGCAAAATCCAGAGGATGCAAAAGATCAACTCAAATGGTGTGTGGGAATCTCCATAAACAACAAAGAAGGAAAATTCTACTGGACGCAAAAGGGATTTTCGAAAGGTGGGAAAGGTCGGATCTTCCGCGCCAATATACAGATGCCTGCGGGCCAAAATGCTTCCACTAGAAAAGATATCGAGTTATTGTTTCAAGAACTACCTGAACCTATTGATCTTGAGATAGACGAAGATACACAGACATTGTATTGGACTGATAGAGGAGATCCTCCTCGAGGAAACAGTCTGAACGCAGCAAAGCTTGGGGAAAATTCATTGAAAGCACTAGAGGATGATAGCGAAGAGAAGAACGAGTATCAAATCTTGACGAGACAATTGCATGAAGCGATTGGATTGAAACTTGATACGGTTAATAAACACGTTTATTTGACGGATTTGGGTGGTGCGGTGTATAGAGTGGGAATGGATGGGAAGAATAAAAAGAGGGTTTATGATGAGGAATGTTCATTTACGGGTCTTGGATTGGCGCATGTTTAAAAGGTCTGCGATTTTTCTGCAAAAGAATTATTAATGTTTTGATTCTATCGGAAGACGATGGGTATGTTCGTGGTTTTAGAAAAATAGAATGAAAGGAGTACTACTTCGTAAATCTCGGCAATAAAGTATGATCCCGCTTTATCCGCAATTAGCTAGCACTCAATAAACTCAAATTTAGAAACTCTCCTCCGTGCTGGTGTTTAATTTTGGTTAAAATCTGGGGATGTACCGAAACAGGATATGATCTTCTCCTCTGTGTGATCGTTGTAAGATATCCGAGCCCATGTTCCGAACACCACCCTGGTTAGCACGGAATAGTCGCCGATCCGTGATATATTATATACGGTGTTACTACTGGGGTAAATAGATATCGTGCAAAGGCTCTTATTATAATAATCTGAATGTCTATTGATAAATTAATGCCCATGCCGATTACCATACCCAAGAACTCTATTAACGAAATGGCTCATGGTGCCATAATGCTCCCCATAAAGGTTGAAATCCTTGCTCCTAACCCAGCCAACCAGACCTTGATATGAATGCGCGCAAACTTTCGTTCCTAATATAAGTACACAGAAAGGAAATAACACTAACCCAATCACTAAGCCTTCACTGTGATATTGTGAACAGCACCACCCGCCAAACTCAAAGTAATGTATCCATCATCCCCATTTAATTGCGCATCGAAAGCTTTAGGTCCATTATTCCACGCAACCTCCCCATCAACATCGATTTCGAGTGCAGTATCACGTTTCGCAGCAGTACCAAATCGAACCGGTAGACTCACTGACCCAGATGTTCGAACAGGGGCAGTTATACTCAACACAAACCATCCATTGGTCTTGATACTCCAATCCACATGGATTGGACCCTTCGGAGTAGGAATTTGACCCTTAGCCCATTTAAGATCACCCGGATATGGTTTTATACTCCAGGTCGAAAATCCAGGTCCAGTAGGGACAACACCCAAAACGTAATTACTCATTGCAGGCACAATACCCGTGCTCCATCCATGAGCCATACTTGTGAATCCTTGTTCGTATGCACTTCCATTCGGTCCAATACCTTCCCACATGGTAACTTTGGGATCGTTATTGGCCATCCAACCATATAATCTTCTGATTTCATCAAAGGCGCTTGCTACGAGGTTGGTCTTGAATCGAGCAGATATTTCGAAGAAAGAAATAAATGCATAGACACGCTGCGAGAAGTCTGCTTGCAGAACGTCGTTGTCATAAAATGAATTGCCGTAAAAGCGCTTATTGGCGGTATTGAGGTAATTGAGAATAGAATTGGAGCGGGAGGAATTGGTAACTCCTGCGAGGATAGATATGGAATTTCCATCCTGAGAGTGGGTTTTGCAAAATTCTCCGCCGACACAGGGAGGTCCTTGTCCGTCGAAGAATGCTCCGACTGAATTGTCGAAGTTATTGGAATTGAGTGCATCAGATACAACTTTAGCTCGAGCGAGCCAGCGAGAAGCATCGGAAGATTGACCTTGAGATTTGGCAATTACAGCAGCGTTCTCGAGTGCAAGGACATAAAGGGCGCTGTAATACGTGACTGGACCAAAACGAGGAAGGAATGCATAATCTCCATAACTTCCTGAAATACCGACTCCTTTCCAGATGAGGTTTGTGCCGTTGTCTGTGACAGATGGGTAGAATACGTCCAGGACTTTGACGATGTTGGGGTAATATTTTGTGATGTAATTGTTGTCGCCGGTGTACATCAATAAATCATAGCTGCTGACAATCCACCACAATGGATAATCGAGGAGGTGAAGATCATAGCTGCCACTATTAAAAAAATGTAAGTATTACAACCACGAGTAACGATTGAGATGATCCCTTACATCGATGCAGGAGGAATCCATCCATCAGCACGTTGATGATCTCCTAAATCAGCAAGAATATTACGAGATGCCTCGGGTGCATCATGCGACAGGAACAACGTCTTTCCAGCAACAGCAACATCACCAACGTAGGGATCTCTATCTCTCTTTGCTCCGTCCAAGAGAACTAATTTGCCATCAAGAGTTGGACTGAAGGCATCTCGGGGGTCGCTAGAATTTTGTTGAAAAATGTCGGTTGCGATGTCATTAGTGTATACACCATCATACCACCATTGATTAAAATCCTCATCAGAACTTTCGAACCAGCCGGTGAAAGTGTTTGGGGTACCATGAACACCTGAAAATTTCAAACTCAAGTAATCGATGGATACCTTTCCGTATGGAGCTGTATATGGTGCATCTGCGGCTAATGCATCGAGATAGATCTTTACGTAACGGAAACCATGAAGGCCATCGGCACACACTTGTGTACCATGTTGACACCCGTACATTTCGGTCCAGGTATAAGGTTGGCTACCAACAGCAATCTGAATAGTCTGTGGTTAGAAACAGGTAGCGGGCATAGAGAAGCATAGTGAATATCGTACCTGGTCAGAACCTGGAGTGATTGTCTGGCCCTGATATACTGTCAAAATAAGCTATAATTTAAATAGCTTTGGAGTACACTAACACTGTTTGATCGTGAAAAGTCACTAATATTGGAAAGATATGTCAAAGTTTCGGAGAAAGCAAGTCGAATACCGGGGGAAGTTTCTGAAGCACCAGCAAAGTTGATGCTCAAGTATCCCACAGTGTTTTGTCCAAAGTCAACAATAATAGAAGGAACGTCATTTGATCCATTAGCTCTAGTTAATGTGGTAACCCCACCACCTTGTCGAAGGAGAGCATTAGGATTGTTGACATCTCCGGAGGTATTAACAATGCTTTGAGGTGAGATAATATTGGAGGAAGGAGCTCTGACATATTTTTGCCAGCTTGGAACAGCACTGGCGTCCTGTCTGGAGGGAAATCGGTTCTGAATGGGATATTTGAAGTCTTTTGGTGCAGAAGAGTTCACTAAGTTTGTAAAGACGAAGATGCAAAGAAACAACGATGCTAATTGTGATCCTCCGAAGAGGGAAAGGCGGTAGGACATGGCGCCAACGAAAAAAATAGATAGAAGCAGAGGTTTGGTGTCCGCTTGGAAAGAATGTTGAGAGATTTCCGTAACTGTACCTTTTGGGCCCAGGCTCATACTTTATATGGGAACACGGCCTCTGTAGAGGTGATATCATTTCCCTTTCTTGATCTCGTCCATGATACTCAATAACCCGAGATACCGAATTCCAACATTTCAATATTAAACAATTTCTTGTAGGTTCCTTCGCATGGATATTGGCGTCTGGGGTAAGTGAGCTTTTTTGAGTGAATAGGGGGGCACTAACAAAGCCGTAATATGAACCCATGTAGATAATTATGGCGACAAACCCCCATGATCAGCAGGCGTCAATGCTAAGCATAACGGATATTAACGCCAAACTTAATCCTGACGTTGGATATGACCAACACCAAGGATACAAAAGGTAGCACCGGATCGGATCATTTTTGAGACAGTCAAGATCGAAAGAACGCGCGCGTCTAAATGTTTTCAGGTAATGTCATGATGAAATGCGCGTGAGGCGCCTCGCGTGCCTGACAAATTCGCCAAGGTTTTACAACCACCTGACTGTTTCTCAAATACATCCTGTAGAAGAGGGAAACGGTCAATAATTTCTTCCAATAGTTCTTTTCAATATTACAACTACATCGGAGATGAGTATAATGTAGAGTTCGGGGTTTACTCTCGCGAGTGCAGTGAATCGCCTTTTTAAGTCAGTATTTGCAAAGTTACACACGGATGAACGTCGGGTAACCTTAACCGGGTACGTACCGAGGTCAGCTGTTCAATGTTAAACGGTCAAAACATATGCAGCTTCATAGTCACGTTAAAGGGATATTCACCTCAATAATTTCTTGTGTGTGGGTGATGAAAAAATGATCCAGTCATATGAGATAAAGTGCAGCAGTTCAATAGCTCTTGCAGATACATCAATTTCGAATAATTTCCCTTTGATTTTTGCCATTTCGACGTTGAATAATTGCTGGGGTTTGAGCTGAAAAATTAAGATTATCTGGATGTTGTGCTTTGGAATAGATTCAGCCCGAGAAATGGCTCAAGGAAAGTCGGTAGAAGCTGGAAATATATCTCTTGGAAGCAAAGCTGAGGTAATTAAAGAAGATTGCATGTGCTGCTTGAAGCTGGCTTTCTTCGTTTGATCTAAAGTTTTAGTCAAAGGAGAAGTGTAGCGAGCAGTTTTAGTTTCCCAGTTTTGTGTCTTGGTGAGTTGTGAAGGTTTCGACAACATTAATTTAGGAATGAAGTGGAGCAACCCCGGTAGTGGCATCTGCAAGTGTACTCGTGTTTGCAAATATACGACATGAAGACGCATAGTATAGTTGATGATAATTTACAAGATGAGTCTCAGATGCTGTATGTCTGGGTACTGTAATAGACTTCTAACACTCATTCGAAGTCTAACATGCCTCACCTCTCACTCCAACACGAACTTTAGCAATTAATGCTTGCCCTGGTCCATTATCACCAGTTGGATTCACGACTCCACCGCATGTCACTACATAGATGCAGTCACTATCATCTTCCCCTCTCTCGAAAGCTAAAGCAGTCGGACCAGCAGTCTCTTTTTTATCTAGTCCACCTAAAATCTTGAGCCTTTCCCCCTTTTGTGGCCCAGTCACAATTTGGACAAACTTCAAAACTGTATGTGCCGGGTTTGTAGCTACATAAGCGCTCCCTTCACAATTGAATGCAAAATCATCCCCGATAAACTGATTGACTACAACCTCCAGACTACCGCTCTTGTACTCGCCAGTTTCATCTACTTGCATTTTCACGAGTGTCCCACGATCAGTAACCGTTCCGAAAATCTGGCCTCTAAAGTACTCTAGGCCGTTGAATGCAGGCCATGGTGGTTGAGTTGTGACCTTGCCTAATCTCTCATCCTCAATCCAGATCGAAACTTTTTTGTTTGTTAACCGAACGCAAAGATTTTACATTGCTGGGATTCAGCGATCAATAGAGTCGACGTCTTAGGAATCATCGTAGCACCATTGAGCCATCCTGCTCCAGGTATGTTCGCGAGCTTTCCACCATGGTTGTAGCTGCTCCGCGAGACGGATCGAAGCCACGGAAGTCCAAGGAGTATACAGCCCAAGTATCAGCTTTCCCATGCACACCAGAGAACGCATAAAATAAATCAGCAATTTTCGGATGCTCTATAATCGCTTCTGCGTGATTCTTTGAGCCATAGATACCAGTTTCTTCATCGTCCTCAGGAGGTGCTTCGGCAGCATTGAAATCATGTATCAACTGAATAGTAGACTAGGGATCGTTATGTCTGGGATCAACATAGAATATCTGGCCAACAATCATATTCGTGACGAGAAGCGTTCCATTTGACCGTACGGCAATATTCTCAAGGAAATAGCCAAGAGGGAAACGAGCAACGATTTCAGAAGGTAGCAATTTGGGAACTCCTTCTATACGTTCTTCCATGATTTTGATAATTATGAGATTAGGTAGGGCTATATTAGTGAACAAAACAAAACACGAGGAAAAATGAATCTCTAATATGGTTATTTGATGGTAGAAAGCGGAGTTGAAATTTGTCATGTGTGGCACCGGCGTGTAATTCATACACTCTTTTCCACTTCAGGAATGTATGTAATAAAGGGCAGTAGATAACCATTGATCAACACCAATTATGTCCCAAGACTAATACCAAACAAGAATGTCCCGTAAATGGGGAGGATGGAAGGGCCATGGCAACCGTCATCATTTGCTTAGGGTCATCGCGCGCCCAGGACCCCCGGAACATGCTGTGTCCAGACGCAATCCTTTCGATACTCGAAGACATATTGCTGGGTCCAGATACAACGATCGAGGGTTTGTGTCGAAAGAACTTGAGCACGGCGATAGGTTCTGAGGTTTCTCTCGCGTGAAAAATCGCTCTTTCATGACCTAAGCCGTGGTTGGAGCTGAAAGACCCCGCATTTAGTGTGAAATTTGGTCTCACATAATGATGCCCCCGTGATATTCTTTTCAGCCCTGTCAGTGAAGGTGTAGATTGACTTTCTTAGTTTAAAAAAGGCGTGTCTACAATGCCGTTTTTTGCGTGCTAGAACCCTACATTGAATTCCATGAGACCTAGAGTGCAGCAATCAAGAGCAGCGCAAAAGCATTAGTGAGGTACCGTCTTACCTTAATCTTAGCTTCTCTTTTGGAGGTTATACCATTAACTCTTCCAAGGTTCTACTCAGCATGTCGAGTAGACTTTTCTGGTGTCGAGAATTTTGTGCATAGACCGGCTTCTTTCGTCCCATCCATTCCACGTGTGTTGGCAGATGTGCTTACTTCACGCCCAGCACAAAGCATACGAGATAAGCAGAAGGTCTTAAGTTTGGGGCATATTTATCGTGATTTGAGGTGTTACGATTGTCCTGATGTAGAAATCTGAACCATTTAAGCTCGTATCGTGCCGTGATTTAAAGCCGGCAAGCCGTCGATGGTCAATGTCAAGTCCCAACAGTGGGTGCGAATTTGTAAGACTCTTTTTTAAGTGCGAAAGATCATAGTAATCTAAATATCATTTAATCTTGATAAAAGTCTATAATCTGATTACTTGGTGTAGAGTTGAGATTTGCATGGAGCCTTAAAGTTCTAAAGACAATGGTTTCAAAGCTATTCTGAAATCCGAGTTTCTTATTGTCTGACGAATTCGTGAATCTCATGATGGATGGCTTTGTCGAAAAGGGAGGATTCGCAACTCGAGTATGTCATAAAAAGACAATTAAGCAGAATACTCTCATTCATCAGTGGCCTGGCGAGTTGTGTTTAATATCGTGTTGCAAAAATAAAATGATGGTGGCTCGGGGTGGATACATACAGGCACTGCTAGTCTCGGTAGTTGAGCACTACATCGCATCAAGAAGTATGATAAGAACTGTAATTCCCCATCTTCTGTTACTTTCAACTCTTTTCCAGCCTTAAACATCCTTTTACTTTTCTTTGCTCCTTGAAAATTTGCGCCATCTCAATGGATTCTGTTGAAATGGTGAGTCTGTGCCTTTTTTCTCATCATATAGAAATTACGCTCGACGAACTTGCCCATGATTAAAGTTGGTATTTGAACTGTAAGCAGGTCTAATCGGCGAAGAAAGACCATACCGCAAAGCATCAATCAGCCACCAAAACGCAAAAGTGCATTGTGGCCGTTAAGATGAATGGTCGAGAAAATAATGTCCAGGTTAAAAGATACTCGCAACATTTTTCTTTGCATGTAAGTTCATATAGATGCTGCAACAAAATAGCACAATGTACACTAATTTCTAGTTTCATTCGACGAAATGGTTGCGCCACGGCCAGCCTTCTCAATTCTTACTCTCACTCTCAAACTCTCACTCTCACTCTCACTCTCACAATATCAAAGCTCAAATGCCATGTCATATCATCTGATGGTATAACTCGTTGATCCCCCTACTCGGCTCTGAAGTCAGAAGAATAACAATTAACACATATAATGCATCGAAGTTCCCCACTATCGAGGAAAGCTCTTTGTTGTAAGTTGATTGTTGTCAAACCAAGATTTCTATGCTGTGGTTGTGCAACTAAGAAGCGAGAAACACCAACAATCAAGCCCCTTCATTATGAGGTCGTTTACCAGTATTCTAGGCTCTTTAGGCCTCAAGAAAAGCTCCGAAGATTCGAAACCAACAGAATTCCAAAAAGCAAAACGTTCACAAAAACAAGTTACATTCAATGATCTACCTAGGGATCAGCTTCCTCCTCGTTGTCTATTCGGTGAAGTTGTGACAGCGTCAGACTTCAGAGGACAACCCTGTTTAAATTTAATACAAGAAGAGAATGAAGCAATTGGTGATGACAATGGCAACAATGACGTAGCCATTACTTGTGCGGGTCGAGACTTGGATCTGACAGAGAAAGAACATGAACAAAACTTTTATTCACCAGCTCAATTACGGATGAGTATACAATCTCCAAGATATCCACCCCAAGTTCAACATAAAACCGACATTAATAATTATCGCATTCGTCGTGTACCTTCGAATTATTCGATTAGTATATATTCTTCCGACGAACGCAGTACTACCAGTAAGATGGAGACCTTACGAAAGAGAGCTAAAACCCCGGTCTTCTTCATTGGCCAATTGGAAAAGAAAGCGATGGAACACAACTCTTCAGAATGGCTTGCCAACCAATATCAGAAAACATTACCGCGACGACGTATATCCTCTTCTTGGAACCTCGATCTACCTGTCATTCCGGTCAAGAGAACATTAAGGAAAATAAAATCTCAAGAGAGTCTGCGGGATCTTTGCAGACGTAATGCGACATCACCATCTGAAGCCTCGGATTGCGAAACTCTGGTTGGATCCGATGGAAGAGGTTCGCCGCATAGTTTAATATTCAAAGGGGATGAAAAGAATAACAAATTCGGGACCGAGAACGCAGCATCCCCAACATGCGAGCCATTAGACAAGACATCTTCATCGGACCAGGATATTAGCCTACAGATTTGCTTGAATCTCCTGACAAGCAAGTTATCAACATCACTCCAGCAAGATCATCATACGACGGAACAAGAAAACAAAGCATCAAGCTTAGAGATCCTGCTTATGATCGAGGCTTACGAATCGATTCGAAAGGGTCTGCGAGCGGGTTCACGTGATTCACACGTGATATCCGCGGCTGAGACAGCACTTGATCAATGGATTCAAGCTCTGTATACCATATATGAGGACTGCCATGGAATCGATCACAGAAGAACTGCCTTGAATAAACGTACATAGGACTCACGAGGATCGCCGAAGCCAATTCGGACTTTGCTGAACATCAAAACGGCGTGCAATGCTTAAAGGGTCTGGACATCCAGATTCTAGCCTAAAAAAGTTTCCGCTTTTCACTCGGACTCGAACCTCCGAGGCAAACGTGGCTTCGTTGAGACTTTGCTGGATGTTGAAACGTCGGCACACACTTCGAACGATCAATAATCGAAAGAAACTCCGCCAGGCCACGATGACGTAGACACGACAAGGAAGTGATGAGAAGGGCCAACCAGATCGTGCCTGTAGTAGCAGGATGCTCCTAGGCGATGTGAATTCTCTTTGAAGAGAGCCTTGAGAACGGATATAGGACTACGTCCTCGAAACCGGCCGATTAACCTCGTTCATGTAGTGTTATGAGAAAAAAAGTCAAGCTCCCGGATATTTGAGTGCGAGAAGGTGATAAGCATCTCTGGGTGTAACCGGAGGTTAGAAAAGAGATCGATGAGATCACGCGTTGATCATGATGATGATGACGAGGAGGAGGAGGAAGAGGAAGAGGGATCAGAGATCGAAGGAACGAATTCCTTCGCTCCTCCTACGATGAACTTGCGTATGGATTGTGATCGTGGAACGAGTGTATGGCTAACGGGTAATGATTAATGAGTTAATGAATAATGAATAATTGTTTTCCCTTGATTTGCGTTCATTGTCTTTCAATTTGGCGACTTCACTTTAGAAACTCGGGGATCTTGTGCAGCGAATATGCAAGATGAGCACACGTTGAGTGTCTTTTGGCAAGTTGCCATGTCACCTTTTTAATTTTGAACCATGAAGGAGGTATGCTTCGAGTACCTGTATAGGCCTTCTTTCAGTTCAGCACTCAGTAACCCTGGCTTTGAAGTTAATTTTTCGTTATATACCACCAGCATAATTACAATTCACAAGCACATCAATCACAGTCACAATCAAAGCAAACAAGTAATTTGTAAAATCTCCATTTTCATAAACCGTTCTGGAAAACCATCAGAACAAAAGGGTATCTACCTGAACTTCTCATCTCCAACTCCCAAACTCCAGATCCTATATCCAGACAGAAACAAAGCGCAAATCACTTCCTCCCATTAGAGCTGAATCCACCTTGGGAGAGCCACTCCCAAGGTTTCCTGGCCTCTCCGGGTTCTGACTATCTCGATCTTGCTCCTATGTTTTGTTCGTAATTCTTCCCAATCATGTTAACTCCCTTTCAATAGCAACATGCTGCTTCTTGAATACCATCGACCATATCAAAAATCTATTCAAACAACTAGAGCTCCACCACCATACACCAAGTAAAAAGCATCAAAAACAAAGAACTCAAAACACGCCCAATCATCTACTCGAGCATGTCCTCCACCCTCATCATACGGGAACTAACCTGGGTTCCTTCCCAAGCGTTGCAACACATATGTGGGTTTTCGCGCTTCCGAACCTAGGAAAAAAAAATCAGACGCATCTGGGGCGGACGTGCCTCAAATGGAACTATCTACTGCTGACTATCTACAGGTACTTTCTTGCATTCTGATGTCTTTCTTTTTTTTGTTCTCTTTCTTTCCTTCAAGGTTGACCTCTCATGCTTGATCTCCCATCTAGACAATGACTGATCTGCTGCACGTGGTGATTTTGTCGCAGAGAATTTGATGCAGTCAGTCTATGATGAAGCAAGCGGAGTTG